TTGCTTGAACTTGGGAGGCGAAGGTTGCAGCAAGTCCAAATCATACCACTGCACTCCATCCCAGGCAACAGAGGGAGACTCTGTCTAAAAAAAAAAAAAAAAAAAAAAAAATTAAAGTTATAACATGACCTGTCTCAAAGGCCAATTGCATTCAAGGATGTGAAAGAACTTGGTAGCTTCGCCGGGCACGGTGGCTCAAGCCTGTAATCCCAGCACTTTGGGAGGCCGAGGCGGGCGGATCACAAGGTCAAGAGATCGAGACCATCCTGGTCAACATGGTGAAACCCCGTCTCTACTAAAAAAATACAAAAAATTAGCTGGGCATGGTGGTGCATGCCTGTAATCCCAGCTACTCAGGAGGCTGAGACAGGAGAATTGCCTGAACCCAGGGGGCGGAGGTTGCAGTGAGCCGAGAACACGCCATTGCACTCCAGCCTGGGTAACAAGAGCAAAACTCCGTCTCAAAAAAAAAAAAAAAAAGAACTTGGTAGCCTCAACTGAGCTGTACAAAGAGAGGCTACTCTCCCTTCCTCTTGCCCCACATCCACAGATTGCGGCCAGACAGGACATATATTTGTCCCCAGGCTCACTCTCCACCTGTGTGACCTTGGAAAAGTCACTTAACAATCTCCTCATCCCAGCACTTTGGGAGGCCAAGGCCTGAAGATCATCTAACGTCGGGAGTTCAAGACCAGCCTGACCAACATGGAGAAACCCTGTCTCTACTAAAAATATGATATTAGCCAGACGTGGTGGTGCATGCCTGTAGTCCGAGCTACTCAGGGGGCTGAGGGAGGAGAATCACTTGAACCCAGGAGGCAGAGGTTGCAGTGAGCCGAGATCGTGCCATTGCACTCCAGCCTGGGCAACAAGAGTGAAACTCTGTCTGAAAAAAACAAACAAACAAACAAACAAAAAAAAACTGCTCCTGGATCAATAAATGTCACATGCAAAATGCTTCGTAAATGAAATTCCTCTTAAAAGTGCATCTTTGGCTGAGCGTGATGGCTCACACCTGTAATCCCAGCACTTAGGGAGGCCAAGGCAGGTGGATCAGGAAGTCAGGAGTTCAAGAGCAGCCTGACCAAGGTGGTGAAACCCCATCTCTACTAAAAATACAAAAATCATAGCCAGGCACAGTGGCAGGTGCCTGTAATCCCAGCTACTAGGGAGGTTGAGGCAGGAGAATCACTTGAACACAGGTGGCAGAGGTTGCAGTAAGCCAAGATGGCGCCACTGGACTGCAGCCTGGGTGACAGAGCAAGACTCCCTCTCAGAAAGAAAAAATAAAGTACATCTTTGGCCAGGCTTCGTGGCTTACGCCTGTAATCCCAACACTTTGGGAGGTCGAGGCGGGAGGAGTACTTGAGTTCAGAGTTGGAGACCAGCCTGAGCAACATGGTGAAACCTTGTAAACCTTGTCTCTATAAAATACACACACACACATACACAAACGCACATACGCACACACAATTAGCTGGCTGTGGTGGGACATGCCTGTAGTCCCAGCTACTTGAGAGGCTGAGACAGTAGGATTGATTGAGGCAAAAGGATCACTTCAGTCCGGGAGGTAGAGGTTGCAGTGAGCTGAGATCATGCCATTGCATTCCAGCATGGGTGACCCAGTGAGACTCTGTCTCAAAATAAATAAATAAATAAATAAATTTTAAAGTGTAGTTTTGTCTCGAGATGGTAGAGAAAGTGGTTTATGGCTGGGCCCACAATTCTAAGTAGCAACATAGGGAGGAAAAGCCTCAGGATGCTCTAGACACCCCCTGCACCCCTCCCTACCCCACTGCCCAGCTGAGTCAATGCGTTTCCCGCAAAGCACAAACGGGAAGGAAATGAGGCCGCTCCATTTGCTCTCGGACTGTATCTGTTTCCTCCCCCAAGATTGCGGGTATGTCTGTCTGTCATCCAGCCTCTGCAGCTGCTGCTCTTCTCAGAGGGTCCTTCTCATTGCTGGAGGGCCTAGACTGTCAGGAAGGCAGCATCCCGGGTGGGGATGGAAACATGTGCAACTGGAATCTTCAACCCTTGTACTTCAACTCGCTCTGGGCTTCGGGATGGGACACCCATGGAGCGTGCCTGTTCAATCCAAATTCTACCAATAAGTCTTTCAGATTGTCTCCTTGTTGGTGGAATCTGAATAAGTTCTGTAGATAGAATCAATGTCAAGTTCCTGGTTTTGATATTGCACTGTAGTTATGCAAGATGTTACTATTGGGGGAAAGAAACTGAGAGGAAGAGTCCATGGGACCTCCTTGTTCACTTTTTCAAACCCCGGTGGATCTTTATATCTTTTTTTTTTTTTTTTTAGATGGAGTCTTGCTATGTCACCAGGCTGGTGTGCAGTGGCTCGATCTCAGCTCACTGCAATCTCTGCCTCCCAGGTTGAAGCGATTCTCCTCCCTCAACCTCCTGAGTAGCTGGGACTACAGGCACATGCCACCACTCCCAGCCAATTTTTTTGTATTTAGGTAGAGACAGGGTTTCACCATGTTGGCCAGGATGGTCTCGATCTCCTGACCTCATGATCTGCCTGCCTCGGCCTCCCAAAGTGCTGGGATTACAGATGTGAGCCACCGCGCCCTGCCTTTTTCTTGAGACAGGGTCTCACTTTGTTGCTTAGGCTGGAGTGCGATGGCACGATCACAGCTCACTGCAGCCTTAGACTCAGGTGATTCAGCCACCTCAGCCTGCCAGGTAGCTGAGACTATACGTATGTGTCACCATGTCTGGCTAATTTTTTGTATTTTTTTCTTTTTTTTCTTTTTTTTTGAGATGGAATCTCACTCTGTCGCCACCGGGCATGGCACACACCAACATGCCCGGCTAATTTTTGTATTTTCAGTACAGATGGGGTTTCACCATGTTGGCCAGGCGGGTCTCGAACTCCTGGCCTCAGGTGATCCGCCTACCTTGGCTTCCCAAAGTGCTGGGATTACAGATGTGAACCACCACACCCAGCCTTTTTGTATTATTATTAGACAGGGTTTCACTATGTTGCGAAGGCTGGTCTGAAGCTCCTGGACTAAACATGGCAAAACTCCGTCTCTATAAAAAATACAAAAACTAGCTCGGTATAGTGGTGCACGTTTGTAATCCCAGCTACTTGGGAGGCTGAAGCAGGAAAATCACTTGTACCCGAGAGGCGGAGGTTGCAGTGAGCCGGGATGCGACACTGCACTCCAGCCTGGGCAAAAGAGTGACACTCCGTCTCAAAAGTAAATAATAAATAAATAAATAGAAGAGGTTTTTACTAAAAATTCTCGCTTTGGGCCGGGCGCGGTGGCTCAAGCCTGTAATCCCAGCACTTTGGGAGGCCGAGGCGGGCGGATCACAAGGTCAAGAGATCGAGACCGTCCTGGTCAACATGGTGAAACCCCGTCTCTACTAAAAATACAAAAAATTAGCTGGGCATGGTGGCACGTGCCCGTAATTCCAGCTACTCGGGAGGCTGAGGCAGGAGAATTGCCTGAGCCCAGGAGGCGGAGGTTGCGGTGAGCCGAGGTCGCACCATTGCACTCCAGCCTGGGTAACGAGAGCGAAACTCCGTCTCAAAAAAAAAAAAAAAAAAAAAAAAAAAAAAAATCTCGCTTTCAATTTTCCACTTGCCAGGCCATCCCCAAATCCAGGCCCTCGTCCCCTCCCCCTCGGGTCCTTACAGCCACTCCTGGTTTTCTGTCTTTGGTCTTTCCACACAAAGGTCCATCCAAAGGTCTGAATTCTCGGACACAGCCTTTGCCCCACCCCGCCCTGTAATGAGCTGCTTGTTGGATGGAGCCAGAGCGCAACTTTCCTTTTTAGCCATTTCCCACATTCCAGCTGCTCAGGTCTTTGCGGAGGGGCTGCTCCACACCCCGCGCCCGGCCTGCTCTTCCCCTTCTCCACCAGCAGTAAAAAGTAAAAGCCCATCTGAATTTCCGCTGATGTTGTTTCCTAACCGTTACATGGGAATAATCATCCCTGCCCCTCTTCCTTGAAAGGATCCGGTGTGGTGATTGCTGGAATAACGCCTTGGATAAACGATTCTGTGAGCTCTTCAAGAGGAGGAGTGAAAAGGGTTGCGAATCGCACCTTCCTCCTCCCTCCACCGCAACGCGATCCCAGCCGCCAAGCCACGCGCCCCTCGAGGCGCTCTACCGCCGGGTTCTGCCTTTCAAGATGCTCTAACAACCCAGCCCCGCCCTTCGAGACGCTCTATCTTTTTTTTTTTTTTGGAGACGGAGTTTCGCTCTTGCTACCCAGGCTGGAGTGCAATGGCGCGATCTCGGCTTACCGCAACCTCCGCCTCCTGGGTTCAGGCAATTCTCCTGCCTCAGCCTCCTGAGTAGCTGGGATTACAGGCACGCGCCACCACGCCCAGCTAATGTTTTGTATTTTTAGTAGAGACGGGGTTTCACCATGTTGACCAGGATGGTCTCGATCTCTCGACCTCGTGATCCACCCGCCTCGGCCTCCCTAAGTGCTGGGATTACAGGCGTGAGCCACCGCGCCCGGCCGAGACGCTCTATCTTTGGGCACTGCCCCTCGAGACTCTCTAACCACCCAGCCCCGCCCCTCGAGGTGCTCTAACAACCAGGCCCCGCCCCTCGAGAGGCTCTAACTCTAGGCCCCGCCCCCGGAGACGTTCTAACTCCAGGCTCCACCCTTCGAGACGCCCTAACCCAGGCTCTGTCCCTCCCCGCGCTCCAACAACCAGGTCCCGCCTCTCCAGACGCTCTACCTCGGCCCTTTGCGACGCTCTAACCCAGGCTCCGCCCCTCGAGGCGTTCTAATAACCGAGAATCGCCGCTGTAGTCGTTCTACCGGCCAGGCCCCGCCCTCAAGGCGCTCTAACACCCAGGCTCCGCCCCTCGAGGCGCTCTAACACCAAGCCCCGCCCCTTGAGGAGCTCTCACAGCCAGGCCCCGCCCCGCGAGGCTCTCTCACAGCCGGGTCCCGCCCCTTGAGAGGCTCTAACGGCCGGGCCCCGCCCTCAAGGCGCCGTCACGGTCAGGCTCCGCCTCCCCGCGCTCTAACTGCCAGGCGCCGCCGCTCGAGGCGCCCCAACGGCTAGGCCCCGCCCTCACGTGCGTGCGCGGCCCCGCCGAGCCGTGCGGGCGCCCGCGTACTCACTGGCTGAGGTGGCAGAGACCCCGCCAACATGGAGTTCTCGCAGATGCCGGAACTCCTGGGGCTGTCGCTGCTGCTTGGGCTGCTGGCCCTGGTGGCGACTGCGGCGGTAGCGCGGGGGTGGCTGCGCGCGGAGGACCGGAGCGGCCGTCCCGCCTGTAAGTGGGGCCGGGGCGGTTGGAGGCGGCCCGTGGGGTCCCGGCTCCTGGCCTCCTCGTGGTCCGACCTGCGGCTTGGGCCAGCGGCAGGTGGGGCCCGGCGACTCCCTGGGCCTCAGTTTCTCCTCTGGTGAAGTGAGCTTCGCTTCTAGGGACGGGGGCTCGCCGGGCCGGGCCGGGTGCACCCCCTGGGGCGACAGTGGCTCGAACCTGGGCTCCGCGCTCCGGCTTTGCTGGTGGCCGAGGCCGGGCCGTCCCCGGGGTGGCCAGGAGAGCGCCGTCAACTCTTCGGCCTGCCCCGTGGCCGCGATCTCAGAAAAACCACCCGTTTTGCGATGTGCAGCAGCAGCTTTCGCTGGGCATCTGGGACCCCGTGATGGGCTTTGGGGTCTTTTTTTTTGAGACGGAGTTTCGCTCTTGTTACCCAGGCTGGAGGGCAGTGGCGCGATCTCGGCTCACCGCAACCTCCGCCTCCTGGGTTCGGGCAATTCTCCTGCCTCAGCCTCCTGAGTAGCTGGGATTACAGGCACGTGCCACCATGCGCAGCTAATTTTTTGTATTTTTAGTAGAGACGGGGTTTCACCATGTTGACCAGGATGGTCTCGATCTCTCGACCTCGTGATCCACCCGCCTCGGCCTCCCAAAGTGCTGGGATTACAGGCGTGAGCCACCGCGCCCTGCCGGGGTCTTTTTCTGTAAAGAGTCCAGTAAAGGAGAAGTACATCTGGATTATGACCACCTACACAGATAAGCGAAAGTTTCATTAAGGCAAAGCGCGGTGGCTCGTGCCTGTAATCCCGGCACTTTGGGAGGCCGAGGCTTGGAGATGGCTTGAGACCAGCCTGGGCAACATAGCAAGATCCCATCTCTACGAAAAATTAGCAGGGTGTCATCCCAGCTACATAGGAGGCCGAGGCAGGACGAGGGCGTGAGTCCAGGAGTTCAGGGCTGGAGTGAGCTGTGATCGATCGTGCCACTGCACTCCAGCCTGGGTGACAGTGCGAGAGCCTGTCTCTGAAAAAAGTTTCATAGACGAGGTTAGTACTAGAAACGGGAAACACTAGAGAGGAGAGTGGTTAGCCCTGCTCTTTGATGGGGGAGGTGGTTGTTCGGGAAGTCATTACTGAGAAGGGACACATGAGGTAGTGTGGGGTCTAAGGATGGTTCTAGAAGAATTTGCCAGACAGCCAAGGAAAAAAGACATTCCTGCCAATGGCAATACCCACCCAGGAAGGCAAGGAGTCCCCAAACAGCATTTGGTATGACTTAAGTGTAAGGAGGGGGCTTGTTAGATAAGCCTGGAGAGAAGGAAGAAGACAGATTGTGGCTCTGCTTGTGTGGCTCTGCGTGGTTCTGTTTGTGTGGCTCTGTTTGTGTGCAGGGCTCATGAGCTTTTTTCCTGTTGGAATTGGGGAGCATCTGCAGTCACTTAACATATGGCAGCTTTGTGACTCCATTAATTATCTTATGCAAAAGTTCTGGCTCCACTCCCCAGCACAGGGCTCAGCACATGCTGACTTCTCATCCCTGAGTTCCTGATTCAGGTACAAGGTACTGGCATATAGTGGCGTGATCTCAGCTCACTGCAGCCTCTACCTCCTGGTGGAGAATTCAAGCGATTCTCCTGCCTCAGTCTCCCAAGTAGCTGGGATTACAGGTACCTGCCACCACGCCCAGCTAATCTTTGTTTTTTGTTTTTTTTTTTTTTGAGACGGAGTTTCGCTCTTGTTACCCAGGCTGGAGTGCAATGGCGCGATCTCGGCTCACCGCAACCTCCGCCTCCTGGGTTCAGGCAATTCTCCTGCCTCAGCCTCCTGAGTAGCTGGGATGACAGGCACGCGCCACCATGCCCAGCTAGTTTTTTGTATTTTTAGTAGAGACGGGGTTTCACCATGTTGACCAGAATGGTCTCGATCTCTTGACCTCGTGATCCACCCGCCTTGGCCTCCCAAAGTGCTGGGATTACAGGCTTGAGCCACCACGCCCGGCCCTAATCTTTGTATTTTTAATAGAAACAGAGTTTCCCCATGTTGGCCAGGCTGGTCTCAAACTCCTGACCTCAAGATGATCCGCCTGCCCAGCTACTTGGGAGGCTGAGGCACAAGAATTGATTGAACCCAGGAGGAAGAGGTTGCAGTGAGTGGAGATGACCCCATGGCACTCCAGCCTGGGCGACATAGAAGACTCTGTCTTCCCTGCCCCCCCCCCCCAAAAAAAAAGAAAGAAAGAAATGAAGAAAAAAAAAGTCCATTAATTCACTGACTTACCCAAAGCAGGGCCACCAGATCAATTGTGCACCTTACTCCCTATGTAGGGACATCTGGCCAAGGATCCACACTCCACTCAGCAGCACCACCCCACTCAGGGAGTGCGCCTTTTCCACTTCACATGGAGGTGCTCTGTGGACTTACTGTAAACGGCCTCCCTAAAGTCAGTCTGTGGTAGAGAAGACAGAATCCAAACCCAGGTCTGATAGCAAAGCCTCTGTTTCTGTTTTCTGTTTGTTTGTTTTTGAGACTGGGTCTCGCTCTGTCATTCAGGCTGTAGTGCAGTAGTGTTGTGATCATAGCTCACTGCAACCTCAAACTCCTGGGCTCCGTGATCCTCCTGCCTCAGCCTGCCAAAGCGTTGGGATTACAGGCATGAGCCACCGTACCCGGCCAGCCAAAGCCTCTGTTTTTGCCCATATCACACTCACTCTCCTCCGAAGACAAGGGCCATATCTGGTTCGTCTGCTGTTCTACTCAAGCTTGGCTGATCACAGGTGGGCAGTAAGTGCTTATCAGTGAATGACTGTGTGAACGACATGGCCCTTCTTTATAGGCCAAAAAGCAAATGGATTTCCATCCAACAAATCCTCAGGATCCAAGAAGCAGAAACAGCAACAGCGGATTCGCAAGGAGAAGCCTCAACAACACAACTTCACCCACCGTCTCCTGGCTGCAGCGCTGAAGGTACGTGTGGTACCCAAAACAGCATGTGTCTTGACACTTAGCCCCACAGGCTTTTCCTCTGTTGTATTCCATGCATGTTACAGAACCCTCTACCTCTGATCAGAATCAGTGGGGATGCCCAGTTCTGTTCCCTCTCCTCACAGCCCCACCTCAGCTTACTGTTATCCAGGCAACAGGGCCCCAGAGTCACGGCTCCAGGTTTGGGGTCACCATCTCCCCAAGCAGCTCCCATTCACACTTCCTGCCACCCTTCCCCCAGAGCCACAGCGGGAACATATCTTGCATGGACTTTAGCAGCAATGGCAAATACCTGGCCACCTGTGCAGATGATCGCACCGTCCGCATCTGGAGCACCAAGGATTTCCTACAGCGGGAGCACCGCAGCATGAGAGCTAATGTGGAGCTGGACCACGCCACCCTGGTGCGCTTCAGCCCTGACTGCAGGTGGGACAGGACGGAGCCTCAGGTTTGCCTGCAGAGGCCCAGCCCCAGGCTTTGGCCCTCCCATATCTGCTTTGAGGTAGCGAGGAGGAACCTGGATCCAGGGGCTCCGCTGGGGTACCAGAAAGAGCATCCACATAGTTGGAGTGCTCCCTGGGGCTCCCTGGAGGTCTGTACTGCTACACAGCAAGGAAACGGGGAGGTCTCTTCCTACCCGAAATACCGGGGCCTGGCTTCCAGATGAGCCTTGGTTTCTAAACCCTAGAGAGAAAACACAGGAGTCAAAGCTATGGGAATCTTACCCTTTGAGTAGTTTTATGAGATTTTGAACTGGGGGTTTAAGTTGTAAGGCTAGACTGTGGGGCATGAGGGGAGATATTGACTTCCCCCAGAACCCAGCGTAGGACCTGGAACACCGAGCCTCTTCGTCCAGTGAGAGAGTGACTTGTCTGCTACCGGTCTCTAGAGCCTTCATTGTCTGGCTGGCCAACGGGGACACCCTCCGTGTCTTCAAAATGACCAAGCGGGAGGATGGGGGCTACACCTTCACAGCCACCTCAGAGGACTTCCCTAAAAAGCACAAGGCGCCTGTCATCGACATTGGCATTGCTGACACAGGTAAGAGGCATTCAGAGGGTGGCACCTGCCCACAGCATGAAGGAAAGATCCAGTTCTGTTTCCTCAATGAGTTAATGCTTCCTGAGAGTTCTGCTCAACCTCTGCAGGACAAAAGGGCCCTGGCTTTGAAAAACCTGGCTCTGTTGTCCCCTGGAGTCCCTGGGTCACACCAGGTCCCTAGGGAAGGTGGGGAAGGGCCACAGTCTTTAGCAGAGTCCTCATCTGTGGTGACCATTGGCCTGGGAGGGGACACGTATACTTGGGCAGCAGAAGCCTCATAAGTGTCTTTGGAGAATGACAGCTGGTCAGGTGACTGCCCATGGCCCACATCACTCCCCTCCCTCTCAGGGAAGTTCATCATGACTGCCTCCAGTGACACCACTGTCCTCATCTGGAGCCTGAAGGGTCAGGTGCTATCCACCATCAACACCAACCAGATGAACAACACGCATGCTGCTGTATCCCCCTGTGGCAGGTGGGCAAGGAGGGGCATTGGCATCTGGGACCACGAGAGGCTGGGCCCGGGGAGCAGGCACAGAACAGAGAGCCAGCTTCATCATGTGGGAAGAGCACACTGGGTGGGGTCAGGAGCCCGAGTTTCAAGTCTCAGCTCTCCCTCTTGCAATAGTGGAATTTCATGCAGGCCACCCCAAGTCCTTAGTTGCTATTTCTTCATCTTTAGTGTTTTTGATTTTTAGATAGTCTCACTGTCACCCAGGCTAGAGGACAGTGGTGCAATCATAGCTCCCTGCAGCTTCACACTCCTGGGTTGTAGCAGTCCTCCCACCTCAGCCTCTTGAGTAGCTAGGACGACAGGCACATGCCACTGTATTCAGCTAATTTTTGTTTTTTGTTTGTTGAGACAGAGTTTTACCCTCGCCCAGGCAGGAATGCAGTGGCGCAATTACAGCTCACTGTAGCCTTGACCTCTTGGGCTCAGGCCCTCCTCCCACCTCAGCCTCCCAAGTAGCTGATACTACAGGCACACACTACCACACCTGGCTAATGTATTTTTTTGACGAGATGGGATCTCACTGTGTTGCCCAGGCTGTTCCCGAACTCCTGGCCTCAAGTGATCCTCTTGCTTCAGCCTCCTAAAGTACTGGAATTACAGGTGTGAGCCACCGCGCCAAGCCATCTGTAGTTTTTAAAAGGTTAGGGTGGGGTATTACATATTTTAGAATAAGGCTAGAGCATAAACTGAGGTCACATACATAAAAGAACTTTTTGAAGGTTTATATTATGCAGATATGAGATACCAACTTTCTCGGGAAAGAGATTTAGTGGTTTACAGGAAGAAGATGCTCCCAAAATGAAGTTCTAAAGGCTTCTGGGTTGTTTCGCAGATTTGTAGCCTCGTGTGGCTTCACTCCGGACGTGAAGGTTTGGGAAGTCTGCTTTGGAAAGAAGGGGGAGTTCCAGGAGGTGGCGCGAGCCTTTGAACTAAAGGGCCACTCCGCGGCTGTGCACTCGTTTGCCTTCTCCAACGACTCGCGGAGGTGAGTAAGTCTACCCTGAAGTCTGACCTGTGGCTCCTGGCCCCTGACAACCAGGGTCCTTCTGCTTGTCTGTGCTGTGGATCTGAAGTGGGTGGGGTGCCTGGCCCTCAGCAGGAAGCAGACTTAGCTTCCTAGCTACAGCCGCTCAAGTTGAGCCAGTGCTCACCCTGCCAGGGTGTTGTTGGGGCTTGAGCTGTGATTTTCCGTGCCGCAGGATGGCCTCTGTCTCCAAGGATGGTACATGGAAACTGTGGGATACAGATGTGGAATACAAGAAGCAGCAGGACCCCTACTTACTGAGGACAGGCCGCTTTGAAGAGGCGGCAGGCGCCGCACTATGCCGCCTGGCCCTCTCCCCTGACGCCCAGGTCTTGGCCTTGGCCAGTGACAGCAGTATTCATCTCTACAACACCCGGCGGGGCGAGAAGGAGGAGTGCTTTGAGCGGGTCCATGGCGAGTGTATCGCTGACTTGTCCTTTGACATCACTGGCCGCTTTCTGGCCTCCTGTGGGGACCGGGCGGTGCGGCTCTTTCACAACACTCCTGGCCACCGGGCCGTGGTGGAGGAGATGCAGGGCCTCCTGAAGCGGGCCTCCAATGACAGCACCCGCCAGAGGCTGCAGCAGCAGCTGACCCAGGCCCAGGAGGCCCTGAAGAGCCTGGGTGCCCTCAAGAAGTGACTGGGAGGGCCTGATGCAGAGGATTGAGCAGGAGGGATCTGGCCGCCTGCTCACAGCGCTGCCGCCACCTTTGTTCCCAGGTGGAAGCCTTTTGGAAGGGGTCCCCTGGTTTTCCTACCGGTGGCCTTTTTCCTGTGGAAACTACTGTTGCCTACTTAGATCTCTCTCTCTTTTCTTGCTGGCTGTCACTCCTCCCCAGCTAGTGAGCAAGGTGCTTCTCTTCCTCTCAGGCCCAGTGGGTGGAATCCACCCCCACCCTGTGCGGAGGACAGTGGTAGCGAAGAGAGAGAGAGAACATGATTTTTGGCTTTGTGGCAGCACTTCCCCACACCCAAAGAAGTTTGTAAATGTTTCAGAACAACCTAGAGAACACCTGAGTGGATGGGAGACTGGGATAGCTTCCTGTCACAGAACTGTGCTGTGGGGTCGGGGAAGGCCGATCTCCATTGAGTCAAGGCTCCTAACTCCGTCAAACAAACACTAAGGGATTTCATTCTGGGCCTGAGTTCTGTTTGTAAGATGGAGAATAATTCTATCTGTGACCTGCTTGCAAAGATGATATGAGGCTTAGAGAGTGTAAAGTCACTAGGTCTAGAAGAAAAGTGGCAAAGAGTCATACTATCGTCCAATGCATTAAAGTGGTAAAAATGGGAACTGGTGTGCTTTGAAACCAAATCAGACCCACATTCCTTGGGAAGGCAAAGTTTCCTGGGACTTGATCGTACATTTTGTATGGCTGGGGCTCATCTCTTTGGGAGATGATATCCTGTTAGGAGACCTCTTTTCAGTTCGTGAGATACTTGAGTGCCTACTCTGTGCCCAAATAAATATGTCCTGGGGACTAAATATGAATAAGACATGGTTTCTGCCATCCAAGATGGCTGGTGGGAGAGAGAGATACAGACACATGTATTAAGTGCTTTCTGTTAGTTTATTCATAGCTACTGTTGTAAACATCAAGGCAAGAGAGAGGACCAGAGCAGGACAGGGGCAATGGGTATTGAAGTTGAAGGGGTACATTTGATAAGAGATTCAATATTGAGAAGTTTAAATTTTTGAATTTTTTTTTTTTAATTTTTTTATTTTTTTATGAGAGGGAGTTTCGCTCTGGTTACCCAGGCTGGAGTGCAGTGGCGCGATCTCGGCTCACCGCAACCTCCGCCTCCTGGGTTCAGGCAATTCTCCTGCCTCAGCCTCCTGAGTAGCTGGGATTACAGGCACGCGCCACCATGCCCAGCTAATTTTTTGTATTTTTGGTAGAGACGGGGTTTCACCATGTTGACCAGGATGGTCTCGATCTCTTGACCTCGTGATCCACCCGCCTCGGCCTCCCAAAGTGCTGGGATTACAGGCTTGAGCCACCGCGCCCGGCCTAAATTTTTGAATTTGAAGACTGCTGGGAGGTGGCAGGTAGGGGAAATGAGGTATCCAGGAAGACTTGAGTGTAGGGAAAATTTATTCATCCCTGGTCAAACTCTTGATCTCTCACGAAAACTGTGACCTCCCTGGATCGCCCCCAGCCTGTCGGTGTTGGAACAAGCCACAACCTTGGGAGTTATCCTTGATGACCCCCATTCATTATCGCCTCTGTCTGTTCATCAAAACGTTCTTTTGATTACACTCCACGTGACAGCCTGAGGCTGCTGCTTCTCTCTGTCTTTTCTGTTACCATCCTGGTCCTGCCCACTGTCACCTACTGGGCCACTAAAATATGGCTTCCTAATGGATCTTCCTGCTTCCTCTGTTGCTTCATTTCTTTTCTATATAGCAGAGTGATCTTTTGAAAATGTAAATCAGGTCACATTATTCTCTAGTTAAAACCCTCCAAGGCTTCCCATCACACTTGAAATAAAATCCAAAATTTTTTTTTTAACCAAAAATAATTTAAAAAAAAAATTTTTTTTTTTGAGACAGTCTCACTCTGTTCCCCAGGTTGGAGTACAGTGGCGCAATCTCAGCTCACTGCAACCTCCACCTCCAAGGTTGAAGCCATTCTCCTGCCTCAGCTTCCAGTGTAGCTGGGATTACAGACATATGCCTGGCTAATTTTTGTATTTTTAGTAGAGATGGGGTTTCACCATGTTGGCCAGACTTGTCTTGAACTCCTGACCCCAAGAGATCTGCCCACCTTGGCCTCCCAAAGTGCCGGGATTACAGGCGTGAGCCATCACGTCCCACTGAAAACATTTTTTTAATCCCAGATTCTTACCTTAGCCTGCAAGGTCTTGTGTAACCTGCCTTTGTCCCCACTCTGTGATCTTTTTACTGCTCTCCCAACCTTGCTGTTCCTTCAGCAAGCAGAGTGATTCCATCCTCAGGTAGGACTGGTACTTAAGCCAACCCCTTTGCTTGGAAGTGCTTTATTCAGTTGGCAGACTTATCATGCTTGTCAGATTGCAGTTCTTGGTTGCAGTTACATTGCAGAGAGATACCCTCCCTGACCGCTCATTCAGAAGTAGCTCTTCCCATCGGTCATACCATATCCATCACATCCACTGAATTTATTTTTTTTTATTTTAATGCTTTCTAAAATTCCCTTGTTTGGCTATTTGTTTGCTGCAGGGGTGTTAGCCTAAATGCTATGGACGTCAGCTGGGTACCGTAAATGTGTGAATGGGGCCACAGTCACCTGGGTGTGAGGCAGGAGAAAGTGGGGACAGAAGTGAGCTGGAGGGCTTGTGTCCTGCCTGCGAGGTGGTGGGGAAGCTGCTACTTATTCAGGAATCCAGCAGAAGTTATCTGCTTCACAGAAGCTAGAAGTGAGCAACTTAAATAAAAAATTAAATAAATGAAACAAACACTATCTGGACCAAACAAAACACCGAGTGGGCCCGTTGCAAGTCCACCAGTCTCTCATTGCAGCTTCTGGCTCAGATGAGTCCACTGAAATGAGAGCACCACCAGGGCAGACTCCTGGACCGCCTTACTGTCAGCTCTGTGATCCAGGCACAGTACCTGGAACAGTGTAAGCACTCAGTAAATGTTCAACTTAAGCCAGGGGCAAGCCACAGACCTCCCAGGATCTTCTCCATGCATCTTCCCACTCCCAGTCTCCATTGTGGTTTTGCATGTTCCTAATGACAGACTTCTGCCACTATGCACACAAGGCCTGCGGAGTATTTCCTTTGCAGTTGTCAGAAGGATGAGACGGAAACACTTTCCTTTGCACACCTGTTTTCAAAAGGAGCTCTGGCCTTACTCCCATTGTATATCCAGGACGGGAAGTGGTGGTCGAATGTTGAGTTACTGAAGTCAAGTCTTCAGTTGCAGTTTCAGCCAGGTCATCTGACTTGCGAGCAGGTAGATCTGCTGACCTCTCTGAGCTTGTTTCCTTATTTGTAAGATGAGAACGAATCCTGTCCTGCCCACCTTACCGTGTTGCGTTTCCAATGAGATGAGAGAAAACACTACCAAAAAGTCACTCCACAGACGTTCTGAGGACAGAAAGTGCCCTCACTCAAGCTTCTCTGGTAACTGCAGAGAAGGTGTCTCGATATTAACATCGAACAGAGGCCACCAAGTTTTTCTTTTTTGGCAAAAATCCTGCATGTGAAGGCAGTATTCATATCTTGAGATTTCAACATCTGTGGGTGTGAAATTTTTCAAAATAAAAAGTTAGGGAAATATTTTAAATGGTGGCGTATAGCCTGTTTTGGTGTTTTATTAGTTTCAGAGATGAGGTCTCACTCTGTCATCTAGACTGGAGTGCAGCGGTACCATCATCCAACCTGCCACCTGCATCCAACACACGGGCGCATCGGAGAAACCAACTCTTCAATTTGCTTATCTGTGATAACTTGAAGCCCTGGATAGTGCCTTGCATACAGGCATGTTTTCACAAGTATAGCTATTCCAGTAAAGCCACGTTTCAGAGACTAGCATCTTGGGAAAGGCACAAAAAGTTTTGTGTCTGGGTTTTCTACAACGAATGTACAATTCCTGTGTAATGCTCACTGCAGCACTATTCAGAATAGCAAAGACTGTGGAATCAACCCAAATGCCCATCAGTGATAGACCGGATAAAGAAAATGTGTCACATATATACCATGGAATACTGTGCAGCCATAAAAATGAACAAGATCATGTTCTTTGCAGGGACATGGATGGAGCTGGAGGCCATTATCCTCAGCAAACTAATGCAGGGACAGAAAACCAAATACCACATGTGCTCATCAGTGGGAGCGGAACAGTGAGAACACATGGACACAAAGGGACAACACACACTGAGGCTTGTGCTGGGGGCGGGAGGAGAAAAGCGTCGGGAATAACAGCTGATGCGTGTTGGGCTTATACCTAGGTGACGGGTTGATAGGTGCAGCAGACAACCATGACACCCATTTACCTACGAACCTGCGCATCCTGCACATGCACCCCAGAACTTAATTAGCAGGTAATGGCGGGGGTAGCTCACACCAGTAATCCTGACAATTTGGGAGGCCGAGGCAGGGGGATTACTTGAGGCCAGGAGTTCAAGAGCAGCCTGAGAAACATACTAAGACCCCGTCTCTACGGAAAAAAAAAAAAAAACTGGGCATGATGATGGACACTTGTAGTCCCAGCCTCTCTGGAGGCTGTGCTGGGAGGATTGCTTGAGCCCAGGAGTTCAAAGCTGCAGTGGGCTATGATCACAGCCTAGGCAACACAGCAAGACCCTGTCTCAGGAAAGAAATCAGTAACATGATATATTGAAAGCATTACGATAGCCTCCCATGACACATACTCTGTCACTTTCACTTTGTAACAGCTCTCGTGAAGCAGCAATTATTATCCCCGTTGGAAAAACCCGAGGTTTGTGGAGGTTAAGTGGCAAGCAGGGATTCAACTCTGGGTCTGAGTACAGAGCTCGAGTTTGTTCCTAGTGTCACCCTTACAGCCTGTGACCTTGCCAGCCAGAAAATAAGCTTTTTGAAGGCAGGGAGTTTATAGCATTAGGAATCTGTCTTGTACCTCTTTCTGTTGCATCCATGCAAGTGAGCACACAGTAGCCACTACTTCAATTTGTTGGCTAACAAGATGAACCTGTATACTTATTGCCCAACAGCAAATGAGCTCACTTTGACCACCACTTACGCATGCACCACGTGGTCGACTGGCAGCAGAAATCATTCTGTTACTTTCCAAGGCCACTGTATCTTGTGATTCATACGCTTCCGTGTGATTCTCCGAGGGACTAATGGTTCCAAAGTCTGGAGATGATCGAAGTTCCAAAACTGGGCTGCGCAGGGTGGCTCATGCTTATAATCCCAGTGCTTTGGGAGGCCAAGGTGAGAGGATCACTTGAGATGAGGAGTTTGAAGCCAGCTTGAGTAACATGATGAGACCCCATCTCTACAAAAAATTTTAATATTAGCTGGGCATGGTGGCACACACCTGTAGTCCCAGCTGCTGGGCTACTGGAGAGACTGAGGCAGGAGGATCACTTGAGTCCAGGAGTTGGAGGTTGCAGTGAGCATGGTCACACCACTGCACTCTAGCCTAAGCAACAGAGTGACACTCCAAGTCTTTAAAAAATACGAATAAAAGAGTGCCAGCTGGGCATGGCGGCTCACAGCTGTAATCCTAGCAGTTTGGGAGGTGAGGCAGGAGGATCACCTAAGTCCAGGAGTTCAAGACCAGACTGAGAAACATAGGGAGAACCCCACCGCTACAAAAAATACAAAAATTAGCCTGGTCTATGCTGGCACAGCTGACTCAGGAGGCTGAGATGTGAGGATCGCATGAGCCTGGGAGGTTGAGGCTGCAGTCATCGACCCCATCTTGGCTTCCCCAAGTGCTGGGATTATAGGCATGAGCCACTGTGCCCAGCCAGCCAGTAGGTTTGACAACCCAGGTATGTTTCAG